GGCAGACATCATGAGGATGTTGAGTAACGAGTGTGTGTTGCATGAAGATGAGTTCAGTGTTGCTGCTGTCAGTATATTGATGATGTCATTATTGATTATTGATCAGTGTATCAGAGCGTCAGTTGAACAATATTAAAAATAATTGAATATTACTTAACCTTTCCAGAACCCCTCAGCTCTTCATGTGTGTGTATGTGTGTGTGCGTGCGTCTGTGTGTGTGTGTGTGAATCTCTTTATTCTGTGCTTTGGCTGAGTTTCTCTCACCTGGAGATCAGCTTCAGGCCTCAGGCGACAAGCTCCGCCTCCTCATGCTAATTACTCTCCCACAGATTGGCTGTTAAAATGAGGCTCATTTGCATTTCCTGTACATCGTTGGCAGGCCAGCTGAGTGTGTGTGTGTGTGTGTGTGTGTGTGTGTGTATGTGTGTGTGTGTGTGTGTGTGTGTGTGTGTGTGTGTGTGTGTGTGTGCACGTCTCTGCATGTGTGTATGTGCATATCCATATGTGTGAGGGTGTGTATGCGTGCTTGTGTACGTCTGTGTGTGAGAGCGAGTAAATGATGTTTGTGTGTGCATGTGTTAGTGTGTTTGCGCGTTCTTTGTTGTGTGTTTATTAGCAAATGTGTGTATGCGTGTATATGTGTTAGCACATGTATGTGTGTGTGTGTGTTAATGTAAGCATCTGTTTGCATGTGTATATGTGTGCGTGCTTACATTTACTTGTGTTAGAGTGTGTGACTGTGTGTGTGTGTGTGTTAGTGTGTGCATATTGTGTTTTTGTGTTTGTTACTGTGTGTGTGTGTGTGTGTGTGTCGTGTGTGTGTGTGCATATGTGTGTGTGTTTGTGTGTCCTTGTGTGGTCATGCGTGCATGTGTGTTTGTGTGTTTGTGTGTGTGTGTGTGCATGAGTGAATGTGTTAGTGTGTGTATGTGCGTCCGTCTGTGCATGTGTGTTTGTATGTGCGCGCACTTGTGTGTGCGCGCGAGTAAATGATTATGTTTGTGTGTGCATGTGTAAGTGTGTGTGTGCGTGTGTTGTTGTGTGTTTATTAGCACATGTGTGTATGCGTGTAAGGTGTTAGCACGTGTGTTTGTGTTAATGTGTGTGAGCATCTGTGTGCATGTGT